TTTTGGCGGTTCGGTTTTTCTTCCCCCTGCGGGGGGTGTGTGTGTGGCCCCCCTGTTCCTAAGGGGTTTTGCGGTCGTGCTTTTCTCTCTTTATTGGAGTCGGACGCCACCTTGACGAATGCCCCGGAATGCAGTAATCCTGTTGGCAGATGGCGTTCCTGATGAGGATTGCCGGCAGGATGAACAATTACCGGGCTTACGTCAAGCCGAAACTCCTCTTTTCACCTTTCACCTTTCAGTTGCTTGGGGGTGCACCTTGGCAGTTTCGCCGTCTCATATCAAGTGTGAAGGTGTTTTGCCTGGGGGAAAACAAGTTTCAGGTTGGTTTAAAGAGAGACCAAAGCTTGGTTCCCAGCTGTCCCCTGTGGATTTTAGATCCTTTTAGTGTTTAGTGGTTGGATTTCCATTTGAGCCACTAAAAGTTCAGCAGTTCGCGAGGGATTTGAGGACAACACAGAGAAGGAAACCAATCGTTTTGGGCATCCCCCAATTTTGTCATGCAGGAGCCAGCCCCAATTTTGGCCATCCCCCGAGCTGTTTCTTTGGGCAGCTTCCAGGGTGGCTCCCGAGCGAGGGTTTGGGCTGGCGTGTGCAGTGCTGCGGTTTCCGAGGACGCTTCGCATTGGTCCTTTGGGGAGGGATGGTCTCATCATCCGCGAGGAGTCGGTCAAGGCGCGGCGACAGGAATCAGGTAACCCAAAATTGGTGTTTTGGATTGGTGGTTTGGTCGAACCCCTGGCTCTTATATGGAGGGCAAATGGAAAACCACCCCTGAACCACCAAACCACCAATCCAAAGCACCAAGAAGGGGGAAGCTGCAGGAAGGTTGTTTCGGCCCGCACATTGATTGGATTGTTTCAACAGTGTCATGGGCGATGTCGCGTTTTGTTTTGGGCAATGCTGCGATGCTTTCGAGGGACATAGATCCAGTCATGCACCTATGAGGATGGACTCTGGCCAAAGCTGCCAAAGTACCAAAGCTTCGACCGGTAGTACTCTACGGGTTGATTCCTTGTCCATTCTTTTAAACCATGGTTCCTTTCAAAAACCGGCTCCGTTTTCCCTGGGTTTCCGGAGGTTTTCTAGAAAGATTCGGATCCCTGGAAAGAATGGGGAAGGTCCCCTAGAAGTGCAGTCCAAGCAACATGCAGTGCGAGAATAGCGGCGAATCATCAATTGGCGAGGTGGCGGGTCAGTGGCATGCGGGCGGAAAGCTGGAGTGGGTGCGGGCACCCGGGAAATGCCAGGAGCTTTCGTTGTGTGCTGCGGTCGTAGCTGGTTCGCTGAGATCTGTAAGTTGTGGCTGGGTTTGGATGCAAATGGGTATTTCCCTGCTGGTTTTGGTGTGCCCAGCCAGTCATGCGTGTTTGCTGGCGCCTTTTTTTTCGAATAGATGAGAATGCATGAAGGCCACAGTGGTTTCTTTCAAATAGCTGTGATGCCAGTGGAAGGCTTTACATGACGAATTCTCCATTTCAATCGTCCACCCCCTCATTCCCACAGTTTAATAGGAGTTGATCAATGGCCCTCAGATTTGACCATGGGTAGCTTGTCCCGTTTGGTGGGAAATATCAAATACTTTTTTCCCCGTGGTTTTCCAACCAATGGTCCCCCCAGGCATTCCTTCCGTTTGACTCACTCGGTCCGTGCACTGAGGCGGTTCACGGACTGCCTTTGGCGAGCATGGCCGCGAAGAGCCCTTTGGGTCCCACCCACCGCAACGATTTCGCCGGCCTTCGGCTTGGCTTCTTTTTCAAAGAAGATCCAGACGCCATGTTTGAAAGGCCCCGGGGGAAACCAAGCATGGCGGGGGGGGGTTCACGAAAGAGGACGCACCCATATCCATTCGAGAATCTCATGGACACAACCCAAGGAGTTCCAACTGTAGTCGACATAGTCGACTTGGTGTTGATTGCTGGCGAATGTATTTTTGGCTTTGTCTTTCGTTCGCTTGCTTCCTACTGTGGATGGACGACCTCCATTTCGCCCCACTTTCGAATCCACGAGAAATCATTGTTTGTGGGTATTGAAAAGTGAATCATCATTCCAGGGTTTCTTCCGTGATGGATGTTGTCCATCCACAGTATGAGTAGGGGCAAGGAGACAAACTCCAAGAGATGCTGCTGGATGAACTTGCCACTCAGGGAATGAGGCGACGGCAAACCGAGATCGGTCCTGGTTTTTTTGAACCGGATCCCACACGTTTTCCGGAAACGGTTTGAGAACAACTCCCACGCGACGTTTCCCTGAACTATCCAACTGGTTTCACTGGGGATCCCAAATGGGCGCCTTCACCGGCAGGAGACCAGAGTCGTCTCGCCGCTTAGTGGCCAACTTTTGGCCGGGAGAGCCAGACGCAAGCGGACGCAAGCGATGACCAGACACGGAGATCAGCGCATGACCACTACCAGCTTTTTTTTCTCCTTCCTTTTTTTCCGGATGTGTTCTTGGCCCACCAGATCCATTGCACCACAGAGCATCCTTGAGAGCAACCGACCCAGAAGTAGTTCCGGCAGAAATAAAGCAACATGTTCTTTTCCTACTGACCCCAGCCGTTTCCGTTCGGCTTCCAAACCTTGGCAGAAGAGAAACAAATCAACGTGGTTCTTTCTTTTTTTTGGTCAAAGCAGAAGCGAAGAAGACAAGAGCAAGCAACGCCGAAGACATCTTTTGACGCCATGGCAAGATGGTGGATCTTGCACTGCCTGGCGCTGCCGTGCCCTGAGCGCTCTTGTTTTGCATGTGGGCCCTGCGCTCCGTTTTTTTCTGTTAGGCTCTCAAAAGATACCAGGCCCAACAAGGGTATCATTGAAGGATGTATTTGCTGGGCTCTTGAAAAGCGCAAGGAAGCGGCTTTCCTACAGGGATTATGGAGCCCTGGGATTAACAATTGAGGGATGTGTTTGCTGGGCTGTTCAAAGGCTTCCTTGATCCTTTCCTTGGGTGACTCAAGGAAGTGGCTTCCCTATATTATAATATATATATATATGCTCGCCCCCCCCCCCCCCCAAGATCCGCCTTTGGGCTGTTTTGAGTATATGTTGGTGTCCAAAATCCTTTTTGGGCGTGAATATACAAATATATCTATAATTCCTTTTGAGAGCAGGACGCTGTGAGCGTGCGCTTTTTTCACTTTTTGAGTGGAAACTCGAGTTGAACTATGTTTGCATAAGGTGTGTTTAAATGTGAGCTGAATTGTAAAGAAATTTGATTGGAAAGAACATACTGTGTAAACTTCCATTAAACTAGACTTATTCAAATTCAAATTCTATTATGAAACAGAAGTTGTGGTTGGATTCATTCCTTATCAAATTATGTTTAACCTCTAATTTAAACTTGTAATGTTCTATTGGGCAAGGATTTACATCTAAATTCTAAATGTAAGATGTAACTTCCAGTAGGATTCTGATTAAGTACTTCCTTATTGAGTCCTATTGAAATCCTATTCAAATTCAAACTGAATTTTAGAGAGCGGCCGTTGGTGGAGATGTGAATTGAGTACGAAAAACGTCACAATACAGTGTTTTACGGTGTTTTCTGACCATGGTAGTTCTGGGGCTAGTACACACAAAAAACAAAATTTCTGACCTCTGAATTCTCTCCTTCTGAAATCTACTTAATATCTTTACCAAATTCTACCCAATGTCTGACTGAAATTGACTAGAAGTTATTAAGGAACAACTCCAACCAAATTGTATATGTTAAATTTGATTCTAAATTATGATTAATCTAGTTCAACGTAAATGTTACACGGGAATTCCTTTTCTAATAGAATTGTCCTTACACGTTGCATGGCAAGAACCCTGAGACCTACAAATGATGGTTTTTTAGGTTTTCTAAGGGCAGTACATCACTTTTGGCTCTCCAAAGCAAACAAATAGGGACAGTACAGCACTTTGAGCACCCTGATCTTCAAAGTGCTGTACTGTCCCTATTTTTGTTCATTGGAAACACAAAATATAGGGACAATACACGACTTTGAGCACCACGACATTCCCAAACTGAACAAATGCAAATGCAATAAAAAAGAGGTGTTTTAACATGTTCAACACACTTCAATCACAAATCATCTGCAAACTTCTGCTTGCCTATCCTACCTCGGGCTCAAAACTGCTGCAAGAGAGGGTTGTCTGACCCATGACCATTGGGGGGGGTGGGGGGGGGGGACTGGCAACGCTGTACCATATATATGTATATATGGAGAATCGGATTGGCCAACCCTCCACTTTGAGCTGCCCGGATTTGGGCCAGACAAGTTACATCACCTTTCACTTGGCAGGATTCCCTTGTGCCGCAGTTTCTTGTTGGTTGTATCCGAATGCCAGTGAGCAGCAAGGCTGGGCGAGTGGGGTGCTTCATGAGAAATGGCGGTCTTTTTGATCCAAAGAGGAACCCAATGGAACCATGACCTAAAACCTGCGGGTTGCTGGTCGAATTCTTCATCCCATACCCCAATGGGTGCTTTGCTTTTTTGAGTTGGTACCCCAAATGGAAGTCGTTGACCAGCGATGTGAATGGACCTTTCGAGAGACTCGTCGACTGTGGCGAGCCAAGGCCAGCTGCAGGGATTCTGCGGCCAGGCCGAGACGTCGGAGACGGTTTTTGCCGAGTTCACGTGGTGAGAAGAAGGGTGATTATAACGACCGCACAAGACCTCACCCCAAATGGTGGTTTATGTGGGAATAGCCCCCAAACCACCTTATTTCAGGCTGGTGAAATATTATAATTCACCCAGGGTGATGCCTTCAAGACCCGTGAAGCGGCCTCCTCCTCCTCCTCCTCCCCTCCTCCTCCTTTTCTGCTCCTCCTCCTCCACAGCATCACCATCATCATCACCGTCATCATTCGTCATCATTCGTCTCGTCATGATGCTTGTTACTCAAAATGCCCCCTATCCTCTCTCCCACTGACATGGCACCTGAAAGGGGGTCCCTCCAAGAGGAGTTTGATCTTCCAGGTACCCTCCCACAGGTGCCATGTGAGTTGGACACCAGGGAACCATGTGTTCGGGAAACCCCCTAACAAACCCAAGAAAAACTGGTTTCCCCATTCAAGGAAACCAAAGGAGAAGGCGTTTCTTCCCGTCCGCAGCTCCCGGCAGCTCCCGTGCCGCCGGAATCTCGGAATCGGCTCGAGGCGCGGAGGTGGATCGGCTGCAGCGGTGCCAGCCCCCCTCCTGGCTCACGGTGGCGGAGTCCATCAAAGTCTACGAGCTGAACTGCCAGAAGGCGCGCCAAGAACCGGGGTGGGCGGGCGGGCGGGCGGGCGGGGTTCACTCTTTTTTTGGGGGGGAAGCAGAAGACCACTTTTTGGCAACTAGAAGGACACCAAGAAACTGGAGGGGGTCCCTAATTTTGAGAAGCACCCTTGTACGGTTTTGGGGTGGGAAACGCGGGTCCAGGATTCTTGCGACGCCGAAATCGCAGAGAATTTATGTTTGATGGCCGGCCGCCAGGAATTCTTCGCTTCTGAGGCCTCTCTCATGATGGCTTAATCAGCCGGTGGTCCCATGGGACCCAAAAGACAAGACCTAGTTGCCAAAAAGTAGCATACCTGCAGAAGACTTCCTTTTCAGCTCCATAGGTCTGTCGATTTTGTAGCGAACAGCTCGGAGGTAGAACGAGCTCTTTACTTTGGGATTCAGGCTTTGGACCGCAGTTTAGGGCTTACCGGCTTGGCTGGCTGGCCACGTAACGCAGAGGTTTGGTGCGTTTGCTTTGTTCACCAAAATGGGCAAATGCCAGAACTGTTTGGAAACCGCCAGGTGAAGAACGCCACAAGCGATTTCAAAACCTATCAGTCCGGCCCTCAGCATGGGTATTCATAGGACAGGAAGGTGAGGCTGTTGGATCGCCAATTTCAGAGATGGTCACGTGGCCTGCCATTGTAGTCCTCGAATTCAGACTTGAACTTAGTTCTGGAACTCCCAAGTTGGGCAACAAGGGAATGTGGACGCAAAGACTCACTTGCCCAAAGCCGACCTTTTCACCTTTTAGATTCCCGTTTTGGTGCATTTTTAGTCGTCGCCCCAAAAGGTTAACCTCTTGTTTTGTAATTTCCAGTTCCTTTGGGCAAGTGAGAAGAGAAAAGCCCCGCTTGATGTCCCTTTGGTTTGTTTCGGAGGTTCGATGTATCAGACGCCCAGAACGTGATTTGGGCACAGCAAGGTGCCGCGCGGTGGGGGAATACATGGGTGCAGGTCGAGCTTGAATTGTTTTTGCCTTTAGTATGTTTTGTTTTCCCCTTTAGATATCAACTAAAAGAGGGTCCACCAAAGCCTTTCCTTTTAGTTCCCTTTTCTGGGGGAGGGTTCCCCTACTAAATAGACTACAGTCAAAAGGGTACCCTTATTCTAACCTCTCTGCTAGAGGGTCAGGAGCCACATATTTTGACCACTGCTCAGCATTCCTTGTTCTGCAGTCACTGTGGGTTGTTCAGACAGAGTCGAGCACGTGTTTGGAAAGCCGCTTGTGCACTCTGCCATGTTGCACGGAACGCGTTGCCCTTTCAATAGGTACTTAGTGGACAGATGTTTCAGCAGAATCTATCATGCTTTGGGTACTCGGCATGCACACACACACAAACACATCTCATGGTCTCACACGGAAAAAGGACAACTGAGCACATGGATTTTGTTGTTCCCTTTCTTTGGTGCATTTTGCTTGGATGTTAGGACCTTAACTTTTTGCCAGCCAACGGGGTGTCCATTAAACCACTAAAAGTTAAACCTTTTAGCAGGGCAGCAGATTTCGCAACCGAGTTTTGTTGATACCCGAGTCGCCGAGTCGGTGGAAACCGCCCAAAACGGTTTTTGAAACCAAGGACACCGTTGATACGCAAACACCTCAGCCCAACGGCTCGGCGGCGGGTCCACGGGTCAGGCGAAGCGGCTCAGGAGCTCTGCGACCAAGCGAAGCGGGGAAGCTCGGGAAGCGAAGGAGACGTCCGCTGTGGACTCGGCTTCCGTTTGCCTAAGCAGAGCAGTTTTTCTGGGTGAAGCAAAAACGACCTCACAACTTCCATTTGGTGAAATGAATATTTTTTTTATTTATTTTCCAACCTGTGGGTTTTACAGGGAATCGATATCACTACTGGAAACATATTTTCTTTATGTGTTTTCCAGGGGTCTTAACCAAATGGAAGGCTTTGTCTTTCACAGACAGGGAACCCCCCAAAATTAGGGTGCCTGTTTTGACTTGGTTTGCTTACAAAATAGAGGGCCCTGGTTTAGAGGGGGTTTATTCCATTTACCAGGGCCATCTGTTTTTTCCAAAAGGCCACCTATGGTTTTGAGGTGACCCAGCAAAACCGATTTCGGGTTGCCTCTTGGTTTCCCTTTAAAACCACGAAAAAGAGGGTAGCCCCGGAAATGGTTGGTTAACTTTTTATTTCGGAAATTCGATGGCCAATTTTGGCTGTGTGGAATTTGTGGTGGTTTCCAAGCCCGGAATTCATGAAGCGCGATCCATTTGGTGCAACCCTTCCCATCGGACGTACCAAAGGGGGTCAATGTGCGTCGCCGGGTACTTGGACCCTGCTACTCAGGCTTTCAGAGGCTTCCCACTGCCCACCCCACTTCTTCGTGGCTTCGAGCCGTTTCTCAGGGGCTTTCTGCGATACGGACACTCCCCATGGCTACTTTGTCACGTCGATGGTTTTGTCGGCTCGCGGGTTAACGCGGTCGCGTTTCTCCAGTTCAACCGCCGCACACTTTGTCACCAAAGCACAGTACATGTCGGTGGGTCGAAGGCCTTTCGCTTGCGTCCTTTTTCGGTGGCTCGCACGAGCGGATGAGTCGGACAAACTTCGCAGGCAGAAGTTGAACGGGGATGACGTCTCTTCGGCTGCCAGACTGGCTGTGGACGCATGGGGGTGGGCGCCTGAGAAGCAGTTTTTCAGGACCTTTCGAGGACATTTGAGAGCACAGCTGGGCGCAAAATGGGGGAATCCCAGCATGGCCGGGTTTGCTTCTGTTGTTTTTCTTCAAAGCCACCCCAACAAGGGGTCCGTTGTGAGAAACGGAGTGATGGGCGTGGGCCAACCACCTGCAACGCATGCAGGGCCTCCGATTCGTGACGAGAGCCCAGGCAGCATATCATGAATGGGACCGTGTGCCGGGCGCTCAGCAAGGAAACACGTCGCGTTCTCGCTGCACCACTGCAGAGACGGCGTTCTTCCTGTTTCTTTTGTGCATCTTGCTTGGGTTTTTAATTAAACCACTAAAAGTTAAACTGTTAGTAGGGGAGCAGAAAGCAACCGAGGTTTGTTTCTGCTTCTTTTCTTTTGCGGGGCGTTTGGATGATAACACTTGGTCAACTCTGGCTCCAGCCTTCTCAGAGGGAATCACCACCTGATTACCTGGTGACTTTTTGTTTGTGGTCCCCTTGGGTTTTTAGCTTTTGAGGAATAGTGGTTGGGTTTCCGAATTGAATCCACTAAAAGTTAGGGGATCAGAAAACGGACGGCCCAGTTTTGTCACTACACTTGTCACAGTTCCTCAGGCCACCCCTGGCAGGGTGTTGTTCAAAGGAGAAACCAAAGGAACATCCTAGGGAACAGCCCTCATTTTGGTTTCCCGATTTGGGTGCTTCTCAACAATGTAGAACCTCCAAGAATGTGTGTGTGTGTGTGTTTGCCTTTTAAGGTTCACTTTCAACCAACCCCACGCAGCGCTTGCATGTTTACCTTCAAACAAAGCCCCTTCAGGGGTTCACCATTTGGAGTTTTTGGGTCGGCCGAGACAAACTTTGGGATTGTTGCGTGAAGTTAGATGGCCCAATTCCCCTCATGTTTCATTACCCAGAAAAGATGACAGGAGTGTGTCTACTTTCAATATGGGCCCGTCTTTGTTTTTAGGAATCGGACCCCCCCCCCCACATGGCACAATGTTTTTTTCGTCTGTTTTGTTCCCCAACAGCTGAAAGCTTTGGGGTCTCAGCCCAGATAGGCTCCGGGGTGCGGCCCTGCGGTAAGGCTCCACGAGACTTCCACCAGAATTCCACCAGGGTTCCACGACAGTTCCACGAGGTTCTGCGAGGGCTGCGGGGTGCGAGCACTAAAAAGATGCTGGGGATATCACCTGAGCTTATTTGGACAACCGACCAAGAAACAAGGTGCCAACTCCAGACTCACGGAACCAAAGCCTTGCGCAGGCTGCCCCCTGCCGCATGCACCCTTCTGCTTGGACACCTCGGCGTCGCCGACCTCCTTTGTGGTGACACGCCCAGAGCTGCGAGCGAACCCCCCTTGGAGGCATTTGATAGAAACACGTGACCAGGTTATAAGAAGAAAAAGGAATCACGAGGGATTCTGCATGTTATTTGGTTTGTGTCTCGCTCTGTTGTTTTGTACCAAGACTAAGCCTACACACCCTGAACAGAGATTCAGAGGCCGACTTCTTTCATGTGCAAGTGGCCGGATTCCTGAACATGATTTTAAGATGCCTCAGGTCTTTGGCCTCTTCAGTTGGGTCATTTTGATGTTCATCTTTGCCGTGATCGCGCGCAGCCCTCAGCATCCACATGAGAAGGAATACGTGGGATCGCAGCCCTGACCCCGTTACGACATGGCTAGAAGGAATTTTGGGGAGCCTGATGCTGCATATGGTTTCCTTTAAGGGGAAATTATTTATTTTTTGCTGAGAACCAGCAAGTCTTCCATTTGGGTAAGAATATGTTCCTCTTTTCTCCTGTTGGTCTTTACAGGGAATCGATTTCACCACTGGACGTGTTTTCTCTTTCTTTCTTTCTCTGGGGACGAAAACGCAAATGGGACCCCAGTCTGATGGATTTCGGGGGCTCCAAACCGCTGGCTCGTTTTGAGACCAAGCCCCGATCGGTGTTGAGCCACGCGGCAAGGCGAAGTGAATTTGGTGGTTCCCAGCCATCCGGTTCCTGAGGTTTTTAGATCATTTGAGTGTGTTTAGTGGAAGGATTTCCCAAATTTAACCCGCTAAACGTTAGTCATTTTTAGCGGGGGATCTGAAAACGGACAGCCCAGTGAACCTTTCCTTGCGCACTGCGGCATGCCGAACTCGAAATCGCGTTCAGGTCGATCTTTCTGCGGCCCCCCAAGGAGGAGACGGACAAGGCGGTGAGCCTTTGGAGGGCGTAAGGCGGTTGGCCAACGGCAGGTGAAGATGGGATGTCTTGTTTTTGTTGGGACCCCCATCATGGATGGTTTGCCAAAAGGTGTCCTGGTAAACCCATCCCAAAATGAGGTACTCCCCAAAAAAGAAAGGCACTACCATAGAAGTAGCAGGCCAAACTGTTTTTGCCAGCCCGGCACGTTGCTTCAATGACAATTTGATGCCAGAGCCTGTTGTCAAAGTAGGGGGACCCGAAATCCAGGATTCGCTGGCTTGGCGATGTTTTGTCCGCGCTTGTGTGGAGGTATCCTTTCAAGGGCAACTGGGGCTCAAAACATCTCCCACCCACTTGGATGTGGCTCAATATTGAGGAGCTAGGTCAAACCGCAGGTTTGAGTCTTTCCATTTACCCAAGGTGCCATTTTGATTCCATTTTTGGAGCCACAGCCACTGGACCCAAGTATTCCCCAGTGGAACAGGACACATGCATGCCTTTTTGGGAGGACTCAAATGAAGCGAGCAATAGTTCCTCGTATCATTGCCTGTCTTAGCTTGCCTTTTAAATCCTTCGACTCTGTTGTGTTTCTTGCTTTTTTCCAGCTTTTTGCAGGGGAGTCCGAACGATTGTTCATCACAACTGGTGTGTCGCTTGCAGATAGGACTACCGGCTTGACCTCAGTGGACACTGCGTAGCGACTTTGGCGGAGCTGACGCACTTCTGCAGCCAAGGAGATGTTGCGCGGACGCGCAGGTTTCGGCTTGAAGCGATCACCACGACAGAAGGCGACATGGAACCGCGCGCCGCGCAGTCTGGCAAGCTTCACCGTGCCATGTGCCACGAACACCGACGCAGCAGCCGTAGGCGGCACGCCAAAGCAAAGGAAGCTTTGGCCCAACCACAAGCCCCAGGCTTCTAGGCGCTTGTCAAAATTCTTTACTCGGCTCACTAAAATTCCAACCGCACGTCAGACCCCAACCACATTTCAGTGCTTTCTCACTTCCTCCCCCCAAAAAGATCGGCGGTTTTTTCCAAAAAAGAAGAAGCTGCGTTTTGTCCCGGGGCGTTTCTCCCCAAACCACGGGGCGTCCCCCCGCCGCGGCGGCGCCGCGAGCGCCCGCGGCTGGCGCCGCAAGCGCGGCGCTGAGAGATGGGCCACGGGCTCTCGCGGGGGTTCCGCGCCGCGGCGGTGTCGCTGCTGGCGGTGGCCGTGGTGGCCTGGGCACGGCGGAGGCCGGGCATTCGGCGCGAGTGCGTTGAGCAGAAGTTGGGTCTCGTTGTGAGGGGAGGCTGACAGGAAAAGGCACAAGGAAGACCACCAGGTTTAGAGCCATAGAAAAAAAACCTCGGTGGTGCCCAAATTTGTTCCTTGGCTCTTTAGGGTTTTTTGTTGGTTTAGTGGTTGCAACGAATTTCGCCCACTGAAAGCTGGTGTGTCACTTGCAGCGGATCTGAAAAAACGGGCAGAACTTTTCTAGAGGTACCTTCCCCATTCGGAAACCCATGGAAACGAATCCGGTTTTCAAAAAGAACAATGGTTGGACAGAATGGAGAATCAACCCTTAGAGTGTTCGTTGGTTTTTATTCGGAGCATCACAAGGAACACCACCTTTTTGGTGGGGCTGTTCAAAGGTGCTTGGATGTTCGGCCGCGTTAAACCCTATAGGCTATCAACATTTTTCTAAGTTGCCCGAACACCCAAGTAATCCGCAAGATCCTACCTTGGGTCATGCTTGTATTTCCGATAGTCGGATTGGCCAACCCTCCATGTTGAACAGCCCAGCTTTGGGTGTGTCTCCTTTTGCTGGGTTGAAAGAAAAACCAAAAGGAACATGTATTAAAGGGTCCCTGAAGTTGCTCCCTTTTTGCAACCTCCAACAGTGGCAGGCAGTTTGAGTGGACACCACTGAATTTGCAACTCAAGGGGAAAATCCAGTGAGCACCTTGGTTCCCTCAGAATCTATTCTGGCTCATTTGAATGGAAAAAGGGAAACCACCACTAGTTTACGACTCCCCCACTAGGGTGTTTGTTGGTTCTTGTTTGTTTGCTATGTTTGTTCCTCCGAGAGTGCCGACTTCTTTGAGTTGGGCTGTTCCAGTTTTTGAAAGGCAAAGGGAAGCCACCCAACTTTTGGGGTGACTCATTTTGAGGCAACCACCACTTGTCGGACCTTCGGGGGGCCGGCTTTAGATGTGGTCGCGTAAGGTTAGCCCGGCGTTCGTGTTGATCGGACGCGTGAGGCACATTTCACGCATCCCAATCGAGCATGTCCTTTTTGAGCCTTGCATCAATTTCGTGGCATGCAGCTGTGTGGAATCCGATCTTCAAGCAAAGCTTCCGTAATCTTCGGGAAAACCCCCCCCAAGCAGATGGCAGGGCAATTGTCGTGTTTTGCCAGGACTTTTTTCGGCGGTTTGGCCCAAGTTCCGAAGTCGGGGTTGGAAAACCACCCCAGCGACTTCTGCTTGAGACAAAACTCATTAGGGTCATTTTTTGTTTTAGGGTACACCTTTGGATGGTTTTAAAGGGAAGTCAACAAGACACCAACCATTTGGATCCATTTTCTTACTGGTGCTCAGCAGGGAATGAGGGAATGACCCCTCCAAGCCATCTATCCTTTGGTTTCCTTTCGGGAATGCCCGGATCACCGGTTCATTCAACCAACACCCGGTCTCGGTCATTCCCTACGACCAGCGGATCGCAAGTTTGGCGCCCCGTTTTTGGCAGGCGGCCGGTGTCAGGCGCGTCGACATTGAGTCAATGAAAATGTGTCAAAGGGGCCCCTGAATTGGTTGCTTTCCTTTTGGCTTTGTTTGATTTACCTGAAAAGGGTGCCCTCAAACAAAAAAACAAAAAAAAAAACACATATTGCTTCGACACCAAGCCACTTGTGCAAAGAACAACGAATTTGACAGAGGAATGGGTGTGGCAGCACCAAGGGAGGCCGGCAGGCCGGACAACGGCGGCTGGCCTTAGTTCTTTTTTTTTGGGGGTGTTTGCTGCGACATTCTGAGTAGCCAGGGTATCTCAAGTGCTCCTTGGGAGCAGTATCACACTTGAACCGGATGACTTGCTTTGCTGACAAAGCATGCAACGAGAGTGCCAGCATCCTGAACCTAAGCATGGCTTGGGGCGTTCGCCCGGGATGCATGTCCTGTGTCATTTTGCCTCCGGCGGAAGTTTCCATTGTGTCCTGTTTTCAATCTCCGCAAACTGGGGTTCCAGGTGGCATTTTTCATCCCGATCTGTAGAGCCAACGGTGGGAGACAACAGTGGGAGAGCTCTTGGCACGAACTTGTACCGTATGTTGCCATGATTTGTTGGGATGGTTCCTTCTTTTCTGGTTGTTTGTAAAGGGGCGCCGCCGGGAACCCCGCCTTTTTTGACCCGATGATTCAACTCAGCTCCTCAGTTGCCCAACGCGAATCGACCGGATCTGACCTTTTGGTCGCCCGGTCCATTTTTGGCCCCAGCTGTATTTCATGGGGCTTGGGGGGAGGGAGGGGAGGGGGAGGGAGCCTTCAAATACGCCCAACAAGGCCTTGGGGCTGGTTGGGGCTCCCTCCACTCCCTCCCCCCCAGCCCCCAGGATTATTTCTGGGTCTTTTGGAGCAACTCTTGGACATTGGATCATCCAGGCGAGGCTTCGCCGGCTGAAGCAACTGAGGCGAGCGATTCGGCGATTCGGACTCGCAGCTCGCGACTCTGTTTTGAGTCTCAAGCAACCTCAAAATGGGTGGTGCCCGATTGGGATTTGGTTTCTCGAACATGGTTGCAACTTTTGGTCGTTTTCTTTTGGTCTCCTTTCAATACGAACCAACAAGGGGGCAATCCCATACATTGAGAACTCCCATTTGAGTGTGTGTGTGTGTGAAACCTTTCGGGGGGTCGAATCTTTTTGCGGCGTCGTTGATAACCAACCAAAACAGATCCAACTGAGAAACACCGTCCAGGACCCGTGTTGCTTTTCAACTTCCAAGGGACACCCTGACCTGTTCAACGCCGGCGATCAAATCGTTCCTCCGGCAGGCTGCGCCGGCAAGGCTGGATGGGCGCTCGCTCGGGGTGGCTCGCTTTTCAGGCTTGCAAGGTTTTGGGCGCCTTGCGGGATTCCTTTTGGTTTTGCTTTGCCAGCAAACATCGGTTTGTCTGGTTGTGGGTTTAGGGTGGGTTCATGTTTGGTTTAGGGTCGTTTTGGGTTAAGGGTGGCTTAGAGAATGGACGGTTTTTAAGTATGGTCTTTTCCTTCCCAAGAAACCCACCTCCAAAAAGAAAGGCGCCACATCGGGTAGCCTCCGTCGCGCCAGGGACGCGATCCCTTCCAGACCCTCGCAGCAACCTGAGCAAATCGCGGATTCGTTGGCGAGACAGGTGGCCGTAACCCCCTTCTTGTGGTTGCTTTCAAGTAGAGGCCAAAGAAAACCAGGGTGCTTTCCAACAGTGCCATCACAGCAGTTACAACCGCCAATGCCCTACTGCAATCGCTTCAATGAGGGCACCGCCATTGGCAGCTTTCTGGAAAAGCCAAACATAGCCAGCGGGGCATGTTCTGATATGTATTCAGGTTCGTCAAAGCTCGTCACGGAAGGAATCCTCTCTCGCTTACCCACGCCGGATGTGGAGAGTGGGCATGGGATAGAGAGTGATGAGGACAGAGGATGCATCACCGGTCACTTCATTCTCTTGCCTCAGCATCCAATCCTGAACCGTTATCTCAGAAACCCAAGCAAAGAGCAAAGATACCATCATTTCATCCATCACCTCGTCTAGCCAGATGATTCACTCACGGAAGAGGCAAGCAATTAAGAGACAGATGATTTACAATATGAAAAGTACCTAATAAGAAGATCATACTTTATTGTTGGCATATCTTCATTCAAAGAGAGGTTGTGGAACATGGAAGCTCCCAGGACCCCTTTAGAAGACGAGGCCTTCTGGGAGCTTCGTGTACTTCATGTTCATGTTCGATTCAATATGAACCAACTGTTGGGGCCATTATATATATATATATATTTATTTATTTATTTATTTATTTTTATTTTTTATTTTTTTTGGGGGGGGGGCGAGTTTTTGCCGCCCAGTTTTGGTATCCCGGATCCCTTTGGCTTCGGAAAAGGCAGAGGTGATTGGAGTGTCAAAATCGGGGGACCCGGCTTTCAGCTTGGGGAAGCCAACCTGAAGCCTGAAATAAGAGGACCCTCAAAACACTCTAAATTGCTGCCCCCTAACGCTGACAAGACCCAGACAACACCTTAGGGCCTTTGGGGGATCATGGCCGCATTTCAGGTTCAGCGCACAAAGGAGGGTGGGTTGAACACGACGCCCCGTTATTTACCACTCATGGCACCACACAACCGTAGTGTTATTCCTTTGACTTTCCTTTGACCCGAGGTTCAAACAGGGTTTCCTCCAAAGGTGGCGATCGTTTCAGTGGAAACCACCAGAAAATTGATCAACCTTTCACTCGCGGAAACAAACACACAGGCCCTGTAAAGACAGGCTTAAAAACAAGCTGTAAACCAACCCATCCACCTCAACCAAAACATGCAGGCCGCTGTAAAACGTCCAACCTCCAGTAAACCAACTCTAAGACTAAACCGCCTCATGTACACCTCAACCAAACCTGTAAACCCACCAAACAAAAGCACGAGCCCCCATGTTTCTCTCCCCCAACCCCCCGCCCCAAGCAAGCAACAAACAACACGCACAGAAATAGAAAAGGGAAGACAAACACGCGGACGGAGACGCAAACAAACAAAAAAAAAACGCCGCCGCGAAGCCGCCGAGAGCTCGCGACCGCGAGCTCACTGAGGCGGCCTCCTCCGCGGCCGAAGCGGTTGGCTGAGGTCTTCATTTGCTTGGCGCGGCGACCAAGCGGCCAGGGTTGCGAGGGGCGGGCTGGGAGTGGGGGGGGGGGGGTTGGGTTGGGCGGGGGAAGAGGGGAAGGGCTTAGGTTGGGGGAGTGCGGGGATTGCGGGGTTTGGTTGGGGTGATGGTCTTGTGTCATGTGTGGCTTGTTTGGAGTCGAAATCAAAGGGGTCACCCACCAGCTTTTTTTAAATGTCATTGTTTTTGAGTTACTTCATGTTTTTGCTGGGAAAAACAGCTGCCCAAAGCCAGGATGGTTGGTGGACACTTAAGGTTTGATTACCAAGAGTTCAAGCCAGACGTTATCCAAAAAGTACGTGAAACATAGGGAAAACCGGTCAACAACTGGGGTTCCCCGTTTTGGGTTGGTTCAACCTAAAATCAAGATGCATTTGAGCGGGCGCGTGTCACCAACAAGTTGATGCTGTTCTCATTTGACTGGGTGGTTCCCATCCATCCCCTCAGGTGTATAGATCTTTTAGTGTTTACTGATCGGATTTCCAAATTTAACCCACAAGTTAGTCACTTTCAGCGGATCTGAAAACGGACAGCGAAAGACAGGACACAAATCATTTTGCGCATCCCCCAATTTTGCCACCTAATTTTACCCCACACCCAGCGTTGCCTGTTCGATTCGATTCAATTCTCGAGGACTTCGAGTGGACTTGTGACGACGGGGAGCGCCGCCGAGTGCACAGCGACAACGTGGAGATTTTGGAGTTCTCCTATGTCATCTACGATGTCGCGGCCGGGGACGTCGGCCTTGTGAGGTTCCTTCGGAGGTGTGGTTTCTTTCTTTTCTTGGGTGACTGGGTAGACTAAATATGGATGTGTTTTGAAATCAACGCCAACAAATGACTCGTTTTTTTCTGGCTTAGCAAAAAAACAACAACTGCGGTGTTGTTAGGGCACCCTGAAGAAGAACACGACTACGCAATCATGGAGAATCTGAAAGTATTATGTTTGGTGCACCCCAGATGTGGGCCAAGCTTGAGTGCCACCCACCTCCAGGTGACGAAGCCGCAATGCTCTTCTTTGGTGTCACAGAAAGAGTACTTTCCACAGTGGGCCGGAGGAAAATTCCTGGTCCCATTCAACTGGGAGAAACAATGAAAGGGAGATGTAGGGCCCCCTTAAAAGAGAAAAAAACACAACCAACAATATATATATATATATAAATACACATAAATAGATTTTTTCAATTGATTTGCCTTCTGTTGGTGGGAGGAAGGGCGCTTGTGTTTTTTGTTTCCTTTCACGTGAACTAGGCCTTCAGGATGTTGCTCTCCACAACTCTTTGAAACACAGGCTTCAACACGGTAATCCGCCGACATTGTTCGGCGTGTCGGATACTTACTAGAGGATAGAGGATAACCCCCCCCCCCTTACCCCCCCGCCCGACGTCAAATACGTATTTGGGGGGGGGTCCCTTGATGATGTTCGTAATTGCCGGTTTTGGTCGAAGGATTTGCGGACCCTCCAATTGTGCTGGGGGACAACTTTTTGGTTGAAACTTTCGCCCGGATTTTCCGCATTGGATCCAGAACAAGCTATCTACTTGTTGCGGAGGGGTCAACTGCTACCAAGATTGGTTCATTGTTTCTTTTCTTGGCTTCCCGCCAAAAACATCAACAGAAGAAGGTTCCCCCCCAAAAACAAACACGTTCTTGCGCCAAGAATCATGGAAATGACAGAAGGGATGTGGAAGGTTGAACCAGGTTGCGTGTTGGGTTCCCGCAAAAAGGGTCCTGCTTTGTGACCCTGTCGCGCCTTCAAATTAGGCATGCGAGTTTACTGAGTTTGGCCAACTGCCCCGTGGGTCTTCTGTTTGTCGACAGGCTGAGCGCGTGGTCCGCGAGGGTCAGCACTACTGCAAGAACCAAAGGAGCGGACGTGACAAAAACTCCGATTTCGGGTCCCGTCCCGAAATCGTCCCAATCCTGGTGGAGGTGTTCATACAAAGACGTGGCACCATTTCACACTGGCACTGTTGTTGTCACCTGAGGTGGTCACTTGGACACCTGGCCAAGTCTTGCGCATACGTGCTGGGCTCGTATTGCTGCTTGGGGCCATCCAGCGGTTCGAAGCATTCGTGAGGAGCTTGAACCTGGTCGTAGAGGCAGAATATCGATTTCCCGTTTACCCAATCCCGGTGGAGGTGTTCATACATAGACGTGGCACTGGTTTGTTGTTGTAAACTGACCAAAAACACCACATAACAGCCGTGAACAAGCATTATGGCATCTCTGAACTGGCTGCTGACACAAGCTACGCGCATAAAGGCTCATTCGACTACATATTCAGTAATTATGTCATTGCAAAGGACATGTTTAGATGTGTATGTGTCAAACTAGGGAGAGCTGAATAAGCGGGTCGGTTTCCTTTGGGTTCCCTTGACAGTCAACCCAACATATGGGGTACCCACAAAAAAGGTGAACAACACCCACATGTTGATTGGGCTCTTTCGTCGCCGCAGGACTCCAATCACCAAGTTCTGCAGCGAGCTGACTGGCATCACTGACGACACCGTCGCATCAGCAGGCGATTCGTTTTGTTTTTTTTTTTTGCTGGGCTCGGGTCAGAAGGTCAGCTTTCCGCCATGCCTCTCTTTTCGCCGGTGAAGTTTAAAAGGATCGTGGTTTCATTTCCATTTTCCAGATTGCCGTTCGATTTGCCCGTTTGTGCCGTTGAAGTCCTTTCACTGTTTCATTTGTGGGTTCATCGACATCGATCCAATTTGGAGTCTCATGACAGCTCACACTTTTCGCCATGGTCCGCTCAACTGGCTGGTTCGAGCCAAACTCAGGTCACCTGCATCCACCCATCAAATGCCTGCCCTCGGCAGTGAACCGACATCGCTTTCTGATGGCTTTTTGATGTCCCTTTTTGGAGGCCAGCTGAGTTTGACGTGTTCCTGGCAATTGGCAACACACTCTGGCACCTGGTTGGTCCTCTCAAACCATGGCCAGCTCAGACTTTGTTTGCTTGTGCCAGGCCGGTGATATGTTTTTTAGGGAACTCTCCGAAATGGCTTCGGTTTTCCTTTTGACTTCCCTTTAAAGCCCCAAAACAGGGGTACCCTCAAAAAAAGACACACCCTTGTACCCAAGCCTTGTTTGCAGTTGGAGGCAGGTATAGAATCAGCACGGTTCTGGAGACGGATGTCGGTGGACCCCTGCAGACGTCCTTGGCATCCAGACACCCGGACGTCTGCGAGTTGAAAAAACGGGCAGCTTGTGATTTTTCAGCCCAGGGACACATCACAAACTCAGCGCGGATCTCGCGGCCCGCCGAAATCTCCGGGCCGCGAGCATCAGGCTCGCTGAAGGACGCCCTGCAGGCTCTGCAGGAGGACCTGAATGTGGAGGAGCTGCGGGGCAGGCGCGGCCGCTCCTTTTTTTGTTCCGCTTGAAGTCTGGAGGTTCGTTTTTTGTTTGTTTTGAAGTCTGGAGGTTGGGTCAAAAGTTGTTATGTTGTATTTGTCCTTTTGCTCGGTTAGATGGGTTCCACTGGTCTAGATTGGTTTAGTTCCATTTGCCTTTCGGGACATCCATGGTTCCTTTCGGGACATAGGATAACTCACGAATTTCCCAAGGACGAGCCCTAAATATCCCGAGGGAAGGCCTCTGGGGGAAGGCCTCTGTGCGCAATTTGGAGCTTGAGATCTTCATATGGGTCAAAGTTAAGTCACCGGGGACCGCAGGTCTTAGTCTACTTTTCAGTTTACAAGGGTTCCAATTTTAGGTACCTATTTTTGACCCACGGCCGTATCAAAGGAACAAGTTGTTTTCCATCTCGAGTTCGCATGGGAAGGCTTGATGCAATCCCAGGAAGGCTTGAGGAGTCTGGCCATGCGCCGAATCTGTCCTCATCTCAAGCGGCCGCCCCAAAATCGGAATTCGGACCCCCTTAAATGGCAAGTGGGTGTTCTTTTGATTTTCCTGTACCAACCCAAAGGGGTCCGAAATCCATTTTGAGAAGCTGCAAGGGTTGTTTTAGGGGAAACATCCCACTGTGGATGGACGAAATCTGATGGAAACCGTGGTGCGAAATGGATTTCGCCCATCAGTAGTCCACCGGTTGATCCAGCCGGGCCCACGGACAACTCCCAGAGTCGCCACTCTCGGCTCGAGCGAGGGCACCAAGCTTTTGGTTCGCCAAAAGGAAACCAACCAAAACAGGCGGCCGAACTCCACGTGATGCGGCTAGAAATTTAGCTCGGACCCTGACCCATTCGGTTGGCGGACATAGGATTCCCATGTCAATGATGTTCAGCCCAAGGGTTCCATATTGAAAAGTCACGCCCTTAGGGGAGCCAAACTTGCCGTAGCCCAGGTGGTTCAGCAGATTTTGCCTCGCCAGGGCCAATTTTCTGCTGGTGAAGGTGCTTGGATAGATGACTTTCATTTGAACCTATCCAAGGTTTCTTCTGTTTTTTTTGGTAATAGGTGGAACATAGATGTATTTGGGTGTGGTTCCTTTGCTTGAGTTGGTACCCCCCGTTTTTGGTGGGTCTTAAGAGAGAAGCCAAAAGGAAACCGAAGCCATTCCGGGATGAGAACCAGCCACGAAACAGGTTCAAAGGACGCCTTAGATATGCAAGTTTCTTGAAGAGAAGACATGCACCCGAATCATGCATATGGGTGCATCTCAAAATCGAGGACCCAACAATAGATGGTGTCTGTTTTGATTTTCCTTTAGCCATCCACCCAACAGTGGTCCGAAGTCCATTTTGAGAAACTCCCATACGATCTCTTGTTTCGTATGTTACGCATAAGATAAAATCATGCCTCGGAATGGAGCTGTCGCCGGCGCAGCTAGCGGCGCTGCGGGATCTCTACAGCCGCCACGGGCGTATCGGGGAGCGGATTTGCTTGCAAGTCGGCTAGTCTGGATGATGAGATGTACTCGCAGTTTCACACATATGTATAAGTTATATATTTCGGTAGCATAGTGTACTATTTGAGTCATTGATATCTCGTGCGAGATACAGAATACGACTGGTGACGCGCTCCTACATTGCTGGTCTGCTTGAAGTGATACGAGCGCATGTCGGCTATTTATCCTCTAACATTGAACGCTTTATGGCTTTTTGATTGGGAAACTGCGGATTTTCCGCATCGGACCCACAAAAAGTTTTAAAAAGGAACAACACCTTTTGGCTGAGGGGTAAACAGCAGCCATGTAAAGGGGTTCTGGACATTGCTGCCTGGCTATAAACGCAAGCCTTAGTTGTTCATAGCCATGCTTGCGCCATTGGCGACCAGTTCTTGTGAGTCAGCAGCCAATGAAAGTGGTAGGCACAAGGGTTCCCACGGAGACAAGTCAAAATGAATTGTTCAGAGCTTACATGAGGTGCGTTGGATTCCGCAATAGAAAGAACATATTTGACGAGACCTCCCTGAGTCTCATCCTGGTAAAACCAAGCAAGAACAAATGGGGTAAGTCGATCTATCCATATTTTTTTTTCCTGGGGGCTACCCCTGTTTTGGTGGTTTTAAAGGGTAACCAAGAGAAACACCACGTTCATTTAAACGATTTGCGGGGGGCCTAAAAAAAGAGACCCAACCGGAATCTCTGAGAATTGCAAATGACGGCCACATGTTCCTTCAGCCCCTGAGTCTTCATATTTGACGACCGCGTTCTTAGTCGAGTTTTGGCCTGGGTGGTTCGATCCCTCGAAGCCGGGTACAAACATGGCACCTCCCAGAAGGCCTCTGCAAGTGGAACCAAGTCGTCCAAAGGGCTTTTATGGTGTCCTGGGGGAGGGGAAACCACCGATTTTGGTCCAATCGAGGCGGCACCGAAAGGCAACTGGAAACAAAGACTGATCCCCGCGCTTTGCCCCAGCGATTTTATTTTTATTGTGAGCCCAGCTGGTTCCATCCATTGTCTGAAATGAACGATGTTTTTATGATTCTCTGTTGGTTTTAAAGAGAATCGATTTCACCTCTGGACACAATTTTGCCCATGTTTTACAGGGGACGTATCCGCAAATGCAGGGTTCGTTCGCTTGAGCTCGCACGGCTTTGCCTCCGCCCGCAGGACGACGGCACCTCGGAGTTGAACTTCGAGGCGCGGCGAGCGTCGAGGGCATTGCTCCTTTATCGCGACCCCGAACTCCAGCGGAAGACCTTTGGTGCATTTTAGGTTGTTTGTTTTCTTCTTTGGGTTCTGTTCATTTTTAGCAGGGGGCTGCACAAAACAGAGTTTTTTGCAAGCCCATACCAACGGTTGGAAAGATAAACAATGCCTTTTTGTTCCCTGCCGAAAGTCAGTTCGCCCTTCCGCCGCATGTTTCTCAACAGTGAAGGATGTTTTGAGAGGAATAATGTTGCAAAGCGACTCTCCGTGCCCCATCCCCGTCCTCGAACATGCATTTGGTTTCCTTTTCGAGGGGTGATGGTCAAGTTGGAGAAAAAGTCGGGGACCCACAATCCATTGTAGGTGTTTCTCAAAACCGCTCAAACAGGGTTTCACCATCTTGAGAACCCCCTAATGTCCTTCCCTTTTCAAAGGCGAACCATCGGGACTGGTTTTGCCTGTCGTGGAAAGCCCCTCTCCCCCGCCCTGATCTTTTGGGGGTGTTTCCTAAAAAGTCCTGGGAGCTTCTCAAAATGGGCGTACCCCCTTTTTGTTTTGGTTTAAAGGCAGGCCAAAAGGAACACCCACTTATTCTGGGATCCGATTCCAAAAAGAAGACAGATCCATGGACCTTGTTTTTGATGAAGCCGAAAGGACCAACTGTCCACGTTAGCAACAGGGACGCGGGCACGCCCTCGTGCCCCCATCCCCTTGTGTCTGAAAAGAACCCCTGAAGTGGGTGATGTATATATGTGGTTTCCTGCCCATAGGCCCTAGAACAACCCCCCAAGACTGCGACCTTTCTTCATAGGTATCCTGTGTTGATCGGTTAGTTTGGATAGGGATAGATTCAGAATCCACTGGTTTAGATGGGTTGGATGTACTCCATTTTTTCCAGGGAACCCCATCTATTTTGCCAAGAGGACACCTTTGCTGCCATTTGGAGGTTAGTTTTCCCATTTAGTGGTAGATATCATTTCTTTTAGTGGTTTTCCAAACCACTGTTCATCCTATGTATATCGAACCTTTTGATCAACACCCAAATAAATTCCATTGGAATTCCCTGAGCAGGCCAACAAGCCATGTCCCAGATTTGTAGCGGGACCCATCACCTACCAGCCTATTTTAAGGCCCCAAGCTTGCCATTGTTTTTTTGATCACCCACACGAACTGCGCCTCCTTTATCGATGACTTTGATAACCCACATCCGAAAGGCGCCTCCCAAACCCCCACGTTGTTCCAGGCGTTTCCCCACGCCAATATGTACACGAGACAGAACCCCTCGTAGAGTCTATTTTGCAGACTCAAACCCTCAAACACCCAATACCCTAAATGAAGGAGGTTGCAAAATCATGTTAGACTCTAAGCCCCCGTTTTTTTCCCCCCTCCCCCCTGCCCCTCCTCGTTTTCCACCCGCGTCTTCGTCGGGCCGTTTCGGAGGAGTTCCGGGCCCTGGCGCAGTCGCTGCAGCTCCCGGTGGCCCAGCTGCCGGAGAGCGCGCAGAGGGAGGTCTTCGCGGAGCTGGCGGCCAGCGGCGCCGGGCCCCGGGAGACGGCCTCCTTCGAGGAGCCGCGCGGACGGCGGGGCTTAGCGAAACGCGTTGTGGGTGGTCAACGGGGGAATCCCTTTCTTGCTCTCTTTCCTTTTTGGCGTTTTAAAAATTTCGGCGAGGGGGGGGAAGTGTTTTGTTTTTTTTTTTGGGGGGGGGGGAAGGGGGGACGAGCACAACTTGTCGGGATGTTTCCGTTTTTTGTTTTTGTAGTTGTTGTTGTTTCGGTATGGACCATGTGTTGTTTTGTGGGTAAACATCTTTGTTTTGGGATCCCATCTTTTCCCCAGCTGAAAGCTTAGGGGTCTCTGCCCAAAACGGCTCTGGTAGCTTTCAGGAAGGGTTTCGGAGGTTCCACAGGGTTTCGGGGCTGGGGATAACGGAGAACGCCTGGGCATTGTTTTGGGGGGACCCTGTTTTGCTAGCCGTCCCTTTTTTTTTTGGGGGGGGGGCGGGATCCCGTTTTCGAGGTGTGAGACCAACCGGGAGCCACCTACTTCGGTCGATCTGGGGGTCTCAAGAAACACAACAGCAGCGGTTGTTTGTCATGTTGAGAACCCGAAAGGGTCCGGGACTCAGTAAACAATGCACCCTCCCCATTTTGCAAACAGCAGCATGGTTTGTTTCCGATGTTGAGACCCCCACCCTCCACTTGGCTATGACTTTTAAGAGTTGGAACCCGCTGATGAAAGTTTGGTGTCCCCCAAAGCAAGGAGAACACTGACTGGACAATTGCCATGCGAATCAATTGCCATCTACTTGGCTATGGAGCCCCCTGATGATAGTGCTTGGTGTGCACCAAAGGGTCCGGGACACATCGCAGGCCCCCCCGCTCTTGCAGCTGCCTTAGGTTCTGCCGGTGGACGGCGGAGGGCAGCGGCGCGGACGCCCTGGCCCTCCTTGAGGCCTCCCAGAGTGACGCGGCGCTGTCGGCGGGGGCGGCGAGGCTGCTGACGACGCTGCTGCGACCGCTGGGCGGCGTGGCGTTCTTGCAGGAGACGGGGGGACCGTGGGGCGGGGAGGGGGGAAGGAGATTCCGTGCCATGAACACGTAGAGTCCACCTTGCAGCCAAGAACCCTAACAAAACCAACACCTGAACAGAAGGTGGTTGCAAAATAGACCTCAAGTGTCCCGTCATGGGGGGGGGTTCCCTGTGTTTCCCGTTTTGGTTTTAAACACATCAACTTGGGTCTGGGCCATATGAAGCGTGCCGCGACATGATGGTCAGGAAAAGGGAGTGCGAGGCCCGTGAGCATCAAAGCAAATTTGGGTAAGTGAAGGTTCGGACATTTGCCCCTAATTCTTTATTTGGTTTTGGACAAACTTCACTTTCTCACCAGGTGTTTTGACTTGAGCAATATTGGCAGGGCGTGGTGTCCCCACAACCGTGACGGAGTAGAAGGGCCCTTTGC